GTGCAGTAATTTTTTTATTTGTTTTTGTTTAGTTTTTCTGATATTTTCCCTCCATTTTTCTCGTTTCCCTTCCACTTCGGTTTCAGGGTGTTTTTGTCACTTTCGTTGTAGCAGCAAAGGTATGCAGGTCATTTTAAACTTAAAAAAGTATACAATGCAAAGATTGATAAATAAAAGTATACCTTGCAAAGACCCTTTTTTTTTTGGCACACTAGCGCTAATTTCCTCTAAAAATTATTCCTTTTAACAAAAAATATTTTTCATGAAGAAATTTCTATACAAAACCGAAAAATGTATTTAAAAAAACCACAGTGTATACATGTATATTTGTGTATATGTATATACATGTATATGTGTATGTATATATATATATATATATATATGTATATGTAGTCGGTTCATTGCATTGTTTTGCCGGGTGTTACAAATCCATGTAAAAAATGCTAAATAAAAATAAAACAATATTCGTGGGATGTATTGTATGGTTCTAGCATTACTTTATTTTTCTAGCATTAAACATGACATTAAATACATTTACTTTTCTTTGGCAAATAGACACCTTCTTCCCAAACAAAAGCTAATCTATCACATACATAAAGAAAATAGTTTGTCTCCTTACGAAAGCCAAAAAATATATACTTAAATCAAAAACACAAAAGCGCAGTGTGTAATATATATATGAATATATGAATATGTATATACGTGTATATATGTATGTGTATATATTCGGTACATTGCATTTTTTGCCGGTTGTTAGATATACTAAATAAAAACAAACGATACTAGTGGGTGTGTTGTATGCTTCCAACATCGATCTTCTCCCATATGCCTCGGACCTTTTGTCGGATAGAATATTCCTTATTAATTGATAACCTTTTTTCAGATAGAATTAATGTCATCATTTTTATCTTATATGACCAATTCTCCCATGTGGTGTGCTGCGCCTTCCTCCTTCCTCGTACCTTTTTTCAGATGGAATTAATGTTCATACTCTATCTGATATGACCAACTTGCCGGTGTCGCTTTACATGTCCGTTTCATTTTATATGTACTTTAAGATTCAAACACACAAATTTTAAAAAATAATGATTTATTCAAAATACACTTATTTATTATATAGAAAATTATTATTTCTAAATATATAAAACATTTAAGTATTATTAATTATTGTTGGGGACGGCGGTTGTTGACGACAGCAAAACTCCGGCAATTCGAGCGATTCCAGATAATTACCTGAAATTAAAAAAATATTTTGTCGAGGCCTGTGAAACACAGTTTCTTTAAGTTCGATTTCCGTGCCACCTCTAAAGCTTCGAGGCTATTGGAGCACGGTGAACTCCCAGGATACAACGACCGCGTATTTGGAAGAAGCTTTCCAAATACCAAGCGAACTCAGAGAGAGATATGAGCAAATATGTGAATGCTCTTTTTTTCTCTAGAATGCTTGTTTCATTTTCTGTGTGGTTTATGAGCTAACCCAAGACCCCTATTTATAGTAGAGGGGAGAATCTCAAAACAAATCAATTTGAATTTCAAAATTCAAATTTGATTTTATCTTGATATTATCTCAATCTTATTTTAATCATATTTGATAGATTTTCTGCGGATTTGAATCCAATTTGAATTTGAATTTGAATTTCAAATTCAAACAAGAATATTCTCTTAATATTCTGCAGATTTAAATTTATACGGACCGGGCTTCTCACGGGCTAGGCCCGTTTTGATTCTATCAAATACACCCAAATCCAACACAATTTACAACCAATTACACAGTTCATAGTGACATCTAATTCGAAACAAAGTAAAACCTTACAGATAATGCCTAAACAGATTGAATAGATGAGTGGAGAATGTTAATAGATTTAGGCCCACAGTCTGTTGGTTTTAATGCTCTAGGATACTCCGTGATATGACATTTTGACTCATCAGATTGGTTACCACTTTCTTCAGACTTTTTCTCAGAGTTTTCTTCAGATTCACCACCACTTTCTTGCGTCGTTTCTTCACTTTCGTTCCCATCCTCAGATTTTTTTTCTTCCAAGCTCTCTTCCACTTGAATTTTCTTGTTTTGCTTCACCACATCGCCTTTTGTTTCTACTTCTCTAGCATTTGAATTTTTCTCCCCATCACCACCTTCGTTTCTTTCCTCCTCTGACTCAGTGTTCTAGCCGGAGTTCTGATCATCCTACTTCTCCTCAGCAGATAACTCCGCATAATTCTTCTCTACATTACTCTCTGCCACGACCTCATTTTCCTCATTCTTTTCATCAGAATCTTTCCTGGAAACCTCTTCTTTCGTGAAGTCAATGTTGAAACTTTCAAAATCTTTTGTAGTTTCCCTCGACCACAAGCCCAAAGACTCAGCCAGGGAAGAAGACGATGGTGACATGAACATCCATGCCCCGATCAGGCAGAGGGAAACAAGCAAAACTATGGTAATGGTTAAGCAATAGCTCGATGACTTCCTCCCTTCCTAATTCCATTAGGATTCCTATTCCAATTGGATTCGATCGCCATGGACTTCGTGGTCAGATTACCGCTCACACCAAGCAAGAAGAACGCCATTTGGGTAGTCGTGGATCGACTAACCAAATCCGCTCATTTTATTCCCATCCCTCAGGAGTATCCGATCGAGCGGTTGGCGCAGATTTATGTTGATGAGATCATGCGTCTACGCAATACACGTTTGCTTAGAGGATTTCCACGAAATAGCACCTCCACCAACAACGAATATATATCCACTTGTGGATTTATTCTCATTCGAATCTGATATCCAGTTCGCATCAGAATATCCTTCTAATACTGCTGGATATCTTGTATAATGCAGTCCATAATTCTCAGTATACCTTAGATATCTAAGGAGTCTAATTATGGCCTTCCAATGATCACAACTTGGATTGCTCGTATATCTGCTAAGCCTATTCACGGTATTAGCAATATCCGGCCTTGTACTATTCATAAGATGCATTAAGCTTCCTATGATTCTGGAATATTCTAATTGTTGAACTCCCTCACCGTGATGTTTTTTCAAATGAGAATTAACATCAATTGGAGTTCTGGCCTCAGAATTTCCATCTTTGTCAAATCTCTCTAAGATTTGTTTTATATAATGATTTTGGGATAACGCATAACCGTCTTGTGTCTTGATAATTCTCATACCAAGTATTACATCTGCTATTCCCAAGTCTTTCATGTCAAAGTGATTTGATAATATGGTTTTCGTAGCTTTAATCACCTTATCACCACTACCAGTAATGATCATATCATCTACGTAAAGACAGATAATCACAAATTCTGTCTCATTACCTTTGACATATATGCACTTGTCAACCTCGTTGACCCGAAATCCATTTGACAACATTACGCTATCAAACTTCGCATGCCATTGTTTCGGAGCTTGTTTAAGTCCATACAATGATTTCACAAGTTTACACACTTTTCCCTCTTGTTCGTGCACTCTGCACCCTTCAGGTTGAAGCATGTATACTTCTTCTTCCAGTTCACCATTTAGAAATGCAGTCTTTACATCCATCTGATGTAATTCTAGATTATGTAAGGCTGCCAAGGCTATAATAAACCTTATGGATGTTTTCCGAGCGACTGGAGAGTAAACATCGAAGTAATCGACACCCTCAGTTTGTCTATAGCCTTTGACTACAAGTCTCGCCTTGTATTTTTCAATAGAACCATCCGGTTTCATCTTTCTTTTGAAGATCCATTTATAACCCAATGGTTTGCATCCTTGTGGAAGATCCACGAGTTCCCAAGTGTGATTTTGTCGGATTGATTCAATCTCACTCTTCACTGCTTCCTTCCAATAAGGAGCTTCGGGAGATGACATAGCCTCTTGATATGTCTGTGGTTCTTTATCCAACATAAACGTTAGATAATCAGAACCAAAAGAAGTCGGTTTCTTTGCCCTTTTACTTCTTCTAGGCTCTTCATCCTCTTCATCTAATTGCTTAGAAGATTCATTAATTATTTGAGATTCCATACCACTTGGATCTAATTCTATCC